GGGCTCCTTATGTTGGGAATTTGACTGAACTGATGTTACTCTTCAAAAAGAACAAGAACTTGCCGGATGTTTTGGTGATGGGGGCTGGCTTGTGGGACATGCTGCACATTAACAATGCCTCTGAATATGGTGCCTCTTTGCGAGTTTTGAGAAATAACGTGCTGGCTCTGATCCCGGTTTCCTCGAATTTGGATTCTGACGATGAAGAAGGGCCTAAATCGGAGGCCCGTTTGCTGCATTTGTTCTGGGTTGGGATGCCAACTTTGATAACATCAATGTTGAACACAGATGCTAAGAGGGAGAGAATGACAGACTTGATGTGCAGTGCGTATGTAAGATGAGACTAAAAAGAGCCAGATTTTGCGCCAAGGTGGGGGACCTCTTTTGAAGCTCGATATTCGTCTGTTGAGTGATTTGTGTGGCCCTCTATGCTCGGCTGATGGGATGCATTATGATGGGGTTGTTTATGATGCTGCTGTTCAAATAATGTTGAACGCCTTGATAATTGAATCTGATCAAAACCTCCCGAGATGATGTTTGTTGTAAGTTGTAACTGCACCCAAGTTTTAAAATTGAGAATGTTTTTTGGTGTGTTCTTGAGGCTTGCTGGATAGGACTCGTGAGGTCCTTCGGTTATTGGTGCTGAGATGTAAAATCAAGTTAGCCCTTAATTTTTTTTTTACAATCGCAGTTTGGACGGAGGTTTAGTTTTGGGATCATATCTTAAGTATGCTCGACTGATGTATGCACAAATGTTTTAGTAACTAGCAGTTAGAGGAGCTATTGTCTAGCATCCATTTTTTTTTTCTTTTGAGGAGATACAGAGAGTTGTGATAGTTTCCTGAATATATGTTTTCAATCTTAAAAAAAAAGCTTGGACAACATGTTCTTTCTAATTGTATGTACTCGATTTTACAATCTTTTGTACATGAATCCTGAAGTTTTTAGTTTTATATGCTTCTTTACCATTCCCATTGATCTCCATTCTTTTTCATGCTGGCATTGATTTAGTAGCTTGAACCTGTTTAGTGTTTACAGCAATGTGATAAATTTTGCTTCAAAGCGTACGTTTTATTTGAAGTTATGCTAATGTTAGTCATTTAGTAAATAAACAATCAACCACCTAGGACTGAAAATAAGTTTAAAGCTGTAGCTTTTTTTTCAAAGCTCAACCTTTTGCCCGACTCTTACGAGAACAGAGAAAACACAAGAAATCAAGTTGAAAAGGTACATAAAGTATACCCTCAAGTGCTACTCTTAGCAGATATCGAAAATTTCAACTGAGTAGCCAATTTGTTTTTGCGTCCTAAACGAATCGAAAACACATGTAAAGCCTCAAGATGTTATATTAAGGCAAATGATTCGGAATATCCTTGTTGATGTTTATTGTATTTGGTCGTTTGGTTTTCGATTTAGAAAGAAGCAACTCAAAAACGATGCAAAGGCACCATCGCAATGCCGCCTCCACCTCCAACATGCTCAAGAAAGATCTGTGCTTTAAAAAAATTATCAAAACAATAATGTTCACATTCAAAGCAAAAATTTTCACTTATTTCCATTTCTAATCTACAGTAAGCACAACAGATACAAACAAAATGAAGCAAAAGAAACCTCAATTGACTACTACAAAATTTCAATTGACTAACACAAAATGTACAATCGAAGGTTGCAGGCCATTAAACAGCTTAGACGGTATAATCCAAAGGGCGGAGTCGAGATATCCCGCCAAGTCCGTGCATCTCTGGTCCATCTTTTCAAGATATATCGGCTAGGTGGTACTATCTTTATATTTCTATAATCTAGCACTTTCAGCGCATGGCTACACAAAATCCCAACAGACTCGAACTTTCATACAGCTGCTGCAGGCAACCGAATCATTCTCCAAGCTGCATAAAACCGTGTACTGACGAACTTGACCATATGTGCTGACTTTATACTTAACCGAGGACACGTTTTCATTGCAACATTCGAACTTTACAGAGGTACGAGCACGTGATTATGGCTTTCTTCAAAGTGGGTCACACGGTACTTACCATCTACTTGACGAGAAATTACCAGTTGTGCCAACCATGCACCCGACTCTAGTATATATATATATATTATAAAATATATTATGTGAAAAAAAATATTAGCGACTAATATCCAAATCTGAAGACGATATTATTTTTCTAAAATTTAACTAATCACTAGGCCGTTGACCAAGGACCATGTTTGAATGTGTACTTTTCTAAAATGAAATGCTGTTGTCCTGTTCTTTTGTACTTGAAGCTACTTTCATTTGTTTTAACGTGTTGACTTTGGCAGGCAAATTCACGCAGAGGCACAAAATTGTCCCATCTTTCTACAGATTCATATGGTAAAACACCAAAATTTTATTCACTACTTCCATAAATTGGTTCACTTTTATGGCTTTGTAAGAACCTTAAAACATTTCAATCTGGTCAACGAAGTCGAGCCCTTAAGGCTTCCATTCTTTCACGATGTACAGGGTTTTTGGGTGATTGATTTAAGATATTCTTTTATTATTGGATTGTTTCCGTAAGTAAAGTCGGTTTTGTGCAAAACCGAAATTTCGTTTTTTTCGTACAGTGTGTATTTCACGTGCTTCGACTTTAATTCGTTTTTATACTTTTTAAGTCCCTTTCTCAGTGTTCATAGGCTACTACCATATGAAAGTGTACAAGTTTGCAGTCTTTTGCTCTTTGAATATGAGTCTCAGCTGATGAACATTTGAAAGGTTATGATTATTTATGCAAATCAGATAGCCATTTCTTCTAGAAATATCAATCATTTAGTTGAATTTTCACAAGACATGTTTTCTTTTCGCTGGTTTTCGGAAAATGGGATGACCGGTGTTCGTATTTGCCACATAACTGCATATAATTGTGGCTTATGGTGTCGTGTTTATTTATTTATTCATTTTTTTACGTGGACTAGTTGTCACCATAGCAAACTAATCGCTTTCTCCTTTCCCCCATGCACGGCCTAATCCCATTTTACATCTTTATAGTAAAAGTTCTCTCAGATACTTTGTTTTGCAGTCGACTATCCAAACGGGATTACCAAGGATAGGTAAACCGAGGGGTCGTCATCATGCGTTGACTCAACAGAAGAGACAGGAGATCAAAGATGCTTTCGAACAGTTTGATACTGATAGATCTGGTTTATTTGATATTCTTGTTTGAATAATGATTTATATAGTAATATGCATATTTATGTCATGATTTCTTTGAAATCCATCTTCAATTAACTGAATGCAGGAACTATTGATGCTAACGAGTTTAATGAGGCAATGAGGTATGCGTATAGTTGTTTGCTACACTCACTATATTATAAAGAGTTCGAAGTAACAAAATAATATAATTAACACTTGAGGCAACTTGATTCCTTTGTAGGGTTCTTGGTTTCGAGTCGTCGGAAGAGGTATTTTTGTCGATCGTAAAACTTATACTCCAATTGATTCCTTATCTTTGTCCATTTCTTTTATAATCTTTCTTTAAATTTGTGAAAGCGTGTTCGATTCCTGCTTAATTTTTGTTGATTTCTAATATCTACAAAGTCGAGTAATCTAATATTATGATGATGGTAATGAAGATATTGAATCTCTTCATACAGGAAATTAATCGAATGATAGCTGAAGTCGACAAAGATGGCAATGAGACTATTGACTTTGACGGGTTTTATCTAATGATGACAGCTAAATTGGGAGAAAGGGACACTATTGAAGAGCTCAAGAAGGCTTTCCAAACTATTGACCTTGACAATAATGCAAGTTTGTGACGCATTTTACGTTTTGTTTACTTATCGTTTTGATAACTGGTTCTTCATCATCTGAATGCAGGGGAGCATTTCACTTGGAGATATTAGACGTACGGCGAATGATGTGGGTGTAAGATTCACTGAAAAAGAGCTTCAAGATATGATTAGGGGTGCCGATCGAGATAGTAAGTTCGCTAAAATTCTAATCGTAGTACATTACTTTATATACCCTTGCTTCTCTACAGTTTTTTTATTTGGAGTAAATTTTTTATTTAGACTTAGGGAAGGCTTAATGTTGCAATTTAATATCTCTTCATTAGTTTTCTGTTGGCTAGCTGATGTTAAAAGGAAAAGAAAAACTGGAATAACAAAAGCTAATTTTGGTAGTGAAGGTCTCGTGCAATTTTAACATGGTTCGTTCCGGTGAAATGTGCAGATGATGGTGAAGTTAGTTTGGACGATTTCTTCAAGATTATGAGCCGAACCTCATATGGATACTAAAGCTATGCATTATCAATCATACACAATATCTCAGCTCTGCAGAGTAATAGTTAATGTTGTTCCATGCATTGTACAATATGTCTGTGAACAGAGAAACATCACAGTTAGTTCTTTGGTTTGATCACTTTGAGTTTCAAGTTAACGATAATAAAAAGCCATATTGATGTGATTTTGGCTTCATTATGCTCCTCCCGTTTGGGGGCCAACTGTTCGAATCATTAAAGATTGAATCGTCATGTTGCTGTATCTTGATTATATATTACTCGGCTTTGTCTGTGTCGACATTTATTTTTTTTCCTTAGTTTTCTTGGCATAATTTGTTTCCATTGATTGCATACACTACCTTTGAAACCACTTGACAAGTTTTGTATAATTCCACATCACATAAACAAGAAACTTATGTGCATTAAAAAACATTACAACGACACGACCCATTTTTTATAATTAGTTGACCCGTCTGCAATTGTCCCTGACCTCGCCGTTGGGCCCTTCCTTGACATCCAACGTCCCCATCTTCACCACGGCCCGTTGGAAGTCCAAGAAGAATATAGCCGGGTTCACGGCGTACCTGTTCACGAAGGCCCGCGTGGCGGGGCCCACAAACAGCGTCTGGTCAGAGAACAGGACACCTGCCCCCCTTTGCAGTGCCCTGTAGTACTCGCCGTCGAAGACCGTCCTTGTGGAGTCCAAGGGCTGCTCCGCCAAGTCACCCTTGCTGCACGTGGCGCCCAGTATCTTTGCAAACTGTGGGTCCAATGTGGGGTCCGCATTTTGGTTCAGTCGGCTCTTAAACGACGAGCACCGAGCCACCCCAAGGGTGTGAGCCCCTGTGGACGGTTCAATCTTATTTATGAGAAACTTATGTGTGTTTAGTAAGCACCATAAATTAGCTTATAGCTTTATTTGGTAGCTTATAAGCTTTCTGTATACAAATAAGTTTGGTTTGGTAGGACGAACTTTTTCGAAAAACTCGAGCTTATCTCATAAACTTATTTAGGTAGTTTTTCAAATAAGTCCATTGAAATTTTTATTTTAGCTGACTTATCAGCTAATTTTACCCAACACTTTTATCATATCAGCTAGTTTTTCACCCATAAGCCATAAATTATGAGTTTTAAGCTCGAAATTCACTTATAAACTATCAGCTAAAAAAAACTTATTAGATGATTTTACCAAACATTAATAGATGTTGAGTAGGTAGTAAAGTAAGTCTAACATTAATATTTTACCAGACAAAGCCACCATTTCTCGAACGGTAAATCCGCGCCGCGAAAACATGTCGATGAGCTCCGTACTGTTGAGGTTCGGTGGTGGAAGTCGGACCGTGTCCTCAATCTTCGATCTCCAACCGTCTTTCCTTCCTTTCGGGATCTCATAATACGGACCTCCCGACTAAAGAACCAAGTATAACAAAACAACATGCAAACAAACAATTTTCCCATAGTTGAGGGGAGTAAGGTGCAAAAAATAAAACGTTACAAAACCAAAGTATATACTTACAAAGAAAACAGCATCTCTAGCAGCCATTGCCAGGATATCGGCGCACGAAACGACTCCAGGGCACTGTTTCTCGAGCGCCTCTTTAGCAGCATCGATTATTTCATATCCCCTTAAGCTAAGATTGGCCGGCGAGTCTTTTTCTGCCGTGTTGTTTTTAGTTGAGTCGATCAATATCGACCCATCACATCCCTATTTATTATATATAGATGTTAAAAAAGAACAAAAAATATTGGTTATTACAAAAACTACACAGTATATGTCTAAAATTGAGGGAAAAAAAGAAAACAGATGAAACCTCGACAAAACAGTCGTGAAAATGCATTCGAAGGAGTGGCCCCGAAAGGGTCGGGTCGGATAGCAAAGCCGTGCGCACGGTATTCTTTATGATGATATCGGCAATCGGGCACGTGATTACGTAGTAGTTCATGTTCAGCCCGTCGGCCATCGTGTTCGCCAAGAGTGCTACCATAGCCAACACATTGAGATTGATAATGGCCATTTTCATCAGTTGAAAATTGTGAACTTATGTGTATATATTTCAAACTATATAAGCTGGAGATGAATATTGAACTGCTTGATTTTGAGAAGCTGATGAAGAGATTTTGTCATGTGTATGTGCATATTTATATACAAAGGCTTGCCAACATGCATGGGGAAAAAGTTGTATATGGACCAAGCTAGTGGATGGTGGTGGTGGTGATTGTGAAATCAGGATTTGAAATTTGGATTGGATAATTATTTCTTTAAGTTTTAATTTAATGTTGTTGGGCACTTATATTTGGTGTGGGTGTAATATGCCATCTGTTCATATATCAATATATATATGTTATTACCAGTACGACACCATGTATTACACGGGTGATTGTTAAAAAAAATTATTCTTAAATTTTAAAATTAATGTGAAAATTGAAAAGAGTGCTTTAAAATTTAAATATTTTTTTACAAAAAAAAAATATTATTATATATTTTATGATGACACTTGTTACTCGTGCAACTTACATGTTTTATATTATAATAGTTTTTCTAACTTATATCATATAGTTACTTTAAACATAAATATATTATTTGACAAATAATTTTATTTTCTAGTTAATATTAATAAATAATTTTATTATTATTAAAAAGATAAATATAATTTGTTTAATTTATAAATACAATATGGATGTCAAATCGAAGCTCATCAAGAGATGATTAGTTTGACATATTATATTATGTAAAACTGATAAAAATACAAAAGGTATTAACTGTTTAAAATACATTTACTATTCAATAGCTCGAGCTCGGCTCGTGCTCGACTCGAAATCAAAATGCTCGAGCTTGGCTTGAGTTCGGCTTGAAAATTAGGTAAAATATCATTAAGCACCTATGCTAATATATATAATAAAGGGTATTTTAGTCATTAACGTATATCTCGAGCTACTCGACGAGCCGCTCGACAAGGCAAAATATAGGCTCGAGTTCGTGCTCGAGCCGCTCCAGCTCGACTCGAGTTCGGTCAAACTCGAGCTCGAGTAGAGCTTTGACTCGAGCAGTCGGAGCCCCCGCGGTACGGTACAAGGTATTTAAGTAAATTTATATCTTGTAGGGTTTTGTTATAAATACATGGTGTATTAATGTATTTGAGACTATTGAGAATAATAAAAAGATCCCTCAGCCACTGTGGACGTAGGCACATTGCCGAACCACGTAAATCTTGTGTTGTTTACTTTCTCGTTTTTAATTCGTATGCTCATCTACTCTCAACACTAACCATTAAGCGTGTCTAATAAAAGTCGAACCATTTAAACGATATTGTATCATTTTGCATTCAATTGTAGTACATGTAATTAACTTCCTGCCAAAATCCATTTTTTCGATCAATATATTCTGAAACGGTTCTCTTCATATCTGAGTATCTAACACCTTTTTGCGCACTAATCATGTTGAGATAATTAAACGATACAAATACTTGTGTGGGGCAGTTTAATCGTGGCAAAGGTCGACTATCATCTTGCAGTCAACTGGGATAATATGTAATTAATTAGGATAAGCACAAGGATAATAATACTAATTTGGATTGACATGCAAACACACCATAATCTTTTTTTTTTTTTTTGGAGCCAGCCACGGTATCCGGAGTTATGTCCCGACTAATCCGTTAGTCGACTCGGGTCGCACACCTGGCAGTGGTGGGTGAGTCTCCCAACAAAATTTTTCTGCATCCACAAGGACTCGAACCCGAGACCTTACTTAAGCGACATCAAATTGCTTATCACTTGAGCCAACCCTATTGGTACACACCATAATCTTGTAACAACGCTTGTCAATAATTACTAGGTATTAATTTGATTAATCTGTCCTAAGTTGTTTGAGTGGATATCGAAAAATGAACGGACGAATGCATTTGTGGGGGAAAGTGGCCCATAAAGGCATAAAACAGGCCCATTTAATTAGCATATTAACAATAATCTAAGCATAAATTAAAATGTCAATACGCCTGCACTCTTACACAACATAGCACTTAATTTTATTAATAAAATTATATTAATGTTATTTAAGTAATCAGATAATATGGTAGGTTTCCTCGTTGTATATAGAATGTTGGTTCAACCATAAAGCAACTGTTGATTTCATAACAAAACGGAATAAATATATAAAGATATTTGCAATTTTATGTAAAGTTGTCGTTGGATAAGTTGTAGCAACTTCCTAGTATTATAGTAGGTAGTATGAATAGCATAAGACAAATAATGTAAATTCATAAAATAAAATAATGCAAATCCTAACTTTCACTTTTCTTCTCATTATTATTATAATTATATACATATTGTTCTCTCTCTCTCTCGCTCCTCTTTTTCTTCTTTTTCAATCTATCTCAAATATTTAGTCTACATTGTGTGTAGTGCTCTCTGGCGTTGCCTTCGGTTTAGGGCTTGTACCCTTGTATTTGAACTCATTTCTTTCTATGAGATATCCTATCGTTATGGAAAAAAAAAAAAGTCTATCTCAAATATGATATGGTATAGATGTCGTATAATCTCTTTTTTTTATTGAATCTTGCTTCCGCATACTTTTTTTTTATCTTGTCAACATCTCAAACTTTGACGATTTTATTTTCTTCTCCCGATTTAAGCCAGATCTATACAATTTAAGCCTAAATCAGTACGTTTTTCCTCAATTTGTTACGATTTCAGATTTTATTTGTATGATTTTGACTTTGATATGTTGATATATGTTATCGATCTATGGCTACATAAACCCTACCGATGATCCACCACCGCAGTGCTTTTTGCATGCCAACGACAACCCCGGTGCGGTCACTGTGGCTGGCCTATTCAATGGTATTTTATATCTTACAACCAGTAATGATGGCCTTGAGTGTTAGAACAAATCCAGTTTGGTTGATGACTCGATTAACCTCCCTCGGCAACTCGTTATCCCTCTCTATATCTCTTGAGTAAGGGCTAACAATCTTGTGTTGTTTTGACTACTGAATTTCATTGTCAAAGATATTCGCCAATCTTTGTTTTTTCTTCACTACGACTAAGGAAGTTTGGGACGAAATCAATACTCGCTAAGCTTTAAGCACTGGTCCTAGGATCTTTCAACATGAGAAATATTTAAGCACCACAAATCAGGGTTCAATGTATGTTACTACAATATTTTAATCTGTGTAAATCACTTTGGGATGAGTATGTCACGTATCCACTGTTAAAATGTAGTTGTGGTGCTTTTGTTCATGGTACCTGTAATTTGTTTGATGCTATGACCATTGCATAACAAAATGACTCTATCATGAAATTCTTAGCTGGCCTGAATGATTTTTACTCATCTCTTAGGAGTCATTTTCTACTATCCTTCCAAAACCTTCGCTTTCCACTGTCTATTCTTTATTCATTCAAGAAGAAAGCCAAAGATCTACCGCCAACCCACTTGCTCCTTTGAAATGTTGGCAAAAACAAATATACATCATTTTAAACCAAACAGTCCTCCCTACACAAAAGACAGATCCAAACCTAGACCGAAATGTTTTCACTCGTGTGGCTAACTCGACCATACCTCGGACAAACGTTTACATTCTTTGGATATCCTCCCGATCGGCAAGGCCTTAAGGTTCCTAGACATTCTCATCATACATATGCTCACGTAATCACGTTGTTATGATTGATGTGCAATATTCCTCTAATACTCATGATTCGTCTTCCATGATGGACAATTTATTTCATGAGTTTACGGCTTTTAAAAAGGCTAGCTCAAAATGCTAAACAGGGCAATTATATAACTAATACTCTTGGCCTTGTTGTTGATGTCATTTCAAAAAAAATAAAAAAAAAATAAAATAAAAATTACATTTTCCTACCCGTCTTTGATATTAGTATTATCCACCTAAAAATACATATGTTTATACTATTAATATCATTCTTCTTCTTATTATGTTTTTTAAAATATGAAATTTTATAATGAAAGCAAATATATTTGGAATATATATAT